AAAAAAACAAAACAAAACAAAAGTCCTATACTAGTCATCCGTCAGGTCGACAGGGATGAATGCGTCATTAGGCGCAGAAACAGACCAAGCAGGAGATGGCCGATATGAAGGAGAAGGAGTAGGAACAGTAGCCGAGGTGGGCTGAGGGTGAGGTTGAGCAGAAGGAGGAGTGCTGGAAGGTTCAACAGGCATGTCCTGGGGGTCTGCCACCCAAGCGTCAAAGCTTGGCAACCCCTCTGTGTCTTCTCCTTCTTCCACTACGGTAGGGGGCCACACGGGCAACCCCTCTTCATTAAGCTCTCATTTCAGCTTCACCTGTGTGTCAGCTGGTTGGGCGAGGCTCTTCCCTTCTTCATCAATCTCCTCGCCCTTAAAGAAAGCCAGCTCGCCCATGGGGAAGTCAGCCCGAACTTGCAGCACCTTCCCACGAACCTTGTTGAAACTGTCCGTGGTAGTGTTAGCCGAGGCAACAGCGACGGCGTCCTGGAACATCTCTGCTCCCACTAGCCACTCAGCCCCTTGTGCGCGGGCAAGGCAGACGTCGCGCTGGTGGAGCCTTTTGGTATTCTCCAGGGACGCCTCAGCTCGGGCGACGTGCTAGTCGGCTTGCAAGACCCTCTCTCTCAGGGCACTCAGCTTGTGCAGAGTCCTCTCTTTGTCAGACTCCGCCTTCCTAGCTCGTTCCTCTACACGGCCGAGCTCCTCCCTGGCAGCTTGGATGCCGGTCTCCTTCTCCACCTGAGCCCTCTCCAGCTCCTCCTTTAGCTCGTTGACCTTACGAGCCAACTCGTCAACTCGGCTTTTTGTTGATGCCGCTCGGTTAGCCATCTCTGAGCTCTACAAGCGACTGACCTCGTCAGCCAAACTGGCTTTCTCAAAGGCCAGTTGCTTGCAGTTGTGTTCCAGCTTGTGGTTTTGCACCCGCGCCCCTTGCTCGCACTCGAAGAGTGCAACAGTGTAGCTGAACGCCTACCATAAGCATACACTAGTCAATTTATATCACAAAATAATAAAATACAATAACAAGCTCGGTAAGTATACTTACATCCATCAGCTTGATTAGAGCAGCATGTCCCCCATGCTGCTGAACGTGCCCCTTTGCACATAACCAATCTGCAGGAGGCACAAAGTTTTGCATACCCTGCAGCATTGCGGCCTGGCACTCAGTCCTTACGTAACTGAAGCCGTCTGGGTATGCAATCCTTGGCCCCGCCACAGACGACGAGGCAAGTGCTGGCTCAACAACCTCGCAAGCTGGCGTTGGGGGCACGTTGGCTGCCCGCGCTGCAGCAGCTGGAGCGGGCTGGCTCCCCGTAGTCGTCCTTCGCCGGATGAGGGGAATATCATCTTCGGCATTAGAGTCCTCCCTCACGCACCTTCTTGAGCTGGAAAGCGCAGGCTCAACTCTTTGCTCCGCACAGGGCCTCTGTGCCGACCTGGAACTTCTGTGCTGTGAGCTGCGCCCAAGCGCAGCTGGTGGCCGCTCGTCAAAGTGAGTCTGGCATTGGGAACCGGACACGGCTCCACAGTTCCTCGAGCCTTGTGCTCGTTGACGTTGCCTCTCAAGGATGCTGCTCATTTCTCCTACACAAACAAAGGCATAAGATTCATATCGGCCAGAAATCCTACTATGTTATAGAAATATACCTTCCCCAGAAGGTTTGCCACGTCGACAAACCCAAGAAGTGCGATCTGTTCCGGGGTAACTAAGGCTTCCAAATCCACCAAACCCCTCGCCTTCACATGATTGAGCAGCCGGTTCTTCAGGTCGACATCACCACTTGCCAGCTGTGGGTAGTTCATGTACGTGTTAGGTGTACGCCACTCTGACAGACGGGCGGCAAGCTCGTTATTGATCCTTTCAGTTCGTGTATCATGAACGAAGACAAACTGTCTCTTCCACCTCGTCACCTTATTTATGATATTGGTGAATCTCATCATCTTCTCTCTCCCGAAGATGTAATACCATCTCGTACCGTTGGTAGAGGGACACAGACGACACAGGAAGAGCAACCTGAAGACCACTGCCTTTGCGAGCATCCCTAGCCTCTCACACAACAGCATAAAGCCTATGATAAACTTTATGCTGTTGGAAGTTAACTGCGAGAGGGCCAGCTAGTACTCTACTAGGACATCAAAAATTAGTCCGAGCAGAGGGAAGCGTAGACCGGCGTCAAAATGGTCTACGTACACTGGCACCCAGCCTGTCCTCGATACTGAACACGCCTTTTCGTTTGGTGTTCCAGCTCGAATCAAAATGGTCTTGGGGATTTGGTATCGCCTCACCATCTCCTCCAACTTCTTATACCCCTTCACCGTGGCCGCACCATCTGCAACTTCATGGTGTAGTGCCGCCCTAAATCTAAATCCGACTGGCAGGGTTTTTGGGGCCTTGCGAAGGTTATCCAATCTTTTGTTGATAACCTTGCTCTCCCTTGCTCTCCCACCCCTCAGGCACGGCCACCTCCCCCTCTACACTTGCCACCGGAGCACTATAACCTTCACTGGGTGTCTCCTCCGTGGCTATATCGCTGGACGAAGTTGAAGCACGACAATCATCAGAATCACCACCCGCGCTCGAACTAGCGCTGCTCTTTGGTATGGCGGTTCTGGGCGAGTCTTGCAACTCCAACAGCATTATCATGGCAATAGGCTCCACCAATATCACATCAACCTCTTCGTCTTCACCTTGGTTACCCCGAAACTCTTGTGCATCATGAAAAGAAGCCATTTTTTACCTTGTGTGTGAAGTAGGGTGTCCTCTCGCTAGAAATTCTAGAAAATGGTCTGGAGCGTCTCTGCAACTCTTGCTGATGAAAATGCTAACGTACTGAGTAATGAAACAGAGAATTGCATTTGTTTTTGTCCTTTAGATGGTGCTCCATAAACACCGTACGCGTGTTTATGGCCCCCCAGTTAAACGCGTCCACGTGGCAGCCATTTATGGTTAAGAGCCCAAAATACGCCGTCTGCAGCTGTCATGTCCCCTCAAATGCTAAGCCAGCATTTATTGCGAAGAGGCAAAAGGATATCTGCTGTTGGTAGAAGAATACCAAACGCCCTGAGCAAATCTCCTCAGAGATTCGCCACAATTTAAAATTTGAAAAATCTCAAGGATCAGCTCGTAACAAACCTCAATGATCAGCTTGTAACAAATCCAAGATCTCCTCAAAGATCTGCCCTATTTCAAAATTTGAAAATCTTGAGGAATCAGCTCGTTACTAATCCGAGATCTCTTCAGAGATTCCAAATTCGAAGTCTTTAGAGATCAGGTTGTAACAAATCAGAGATTCACCTCGGTTTTGAACATCAAACGTTAGATTGTCACTAACCCCCTCTGATTAAGGTCGCTCATTTCAGCCCGTCTGGGTTGACTGGTTCAGCTCGTTCACTATCTGCTCGGCTTCGCTCAACTAAAGAAAATCCATTATGCAAGATCGCCCTTACGCATCGGCTTAGCTCACTAATTAGCGCCGAGACCACCTTGCTTTAGCGCCAGCTTCCTCATGCCTGCCTGGTAGGAAGCCGGTATACACATGTACATCAAACCAGGCACTGTGGCTTACGGCCGCCCAGGTCGATCATGCGTGAGATCGGTCATGCACAAAGACGTCATTCCTCATCCTCGGGGTCAGACACCGTGCTAACGAGACTCTTAACCCAGTTCATCAACCAAACGCTGAGGGGGGAGTAATGTTGGGATTAGGCCCAACACCCACTTCGGGCCACATGCAGTAGGCCCAATTATACACTCATTGGCCCAAGATGGGGGGACATACCCACGTGGGCAGTGACACGTGGACCAAACGGGTGAAGACATGTTTGAGCCCATGTCAGCATCTGGGGCTATAAATACCCCCCAACTACCTCCATGCAAGGTATTAATTCTTCTACGTCTCTCTCTCTGCAATTACTCTTTGAGAGCATCTCTCTTTAGAATATTGAGTATTGCTGACTTGAGCGTCGAAGTATTTTTCCTGAGGAAACATCCTCGAGATTTTCAGGTGTAGAAACAGCTGAAGACTTCAACAGTGTTGGATTGTGAAGCTGCCCAAACACGTACGGTATCTTAAGAAGGTGTTGAAGAACGAGAGTAAAACGCAGGACAGCATCCCCAAAAACCACACCCGAAACGTCAACACTGAGAGCATTGGGTCATCAGTGGTGGGTACAGTTTGCTGAACTTCTCTGATAGGAGAAACATCGTTTTCCTTGCTAATTTCCTCGGCTGCATTGTTAGCATTGAACTCCTCCTCCAACTCTATATCAATGAGTTTGATTTCTTGCTCTTCCTCCACAATTTCACAGCCTGCATCTACATCAACCTCCCTCATGATTTCATCAGCTACATTCTCGTCCATTGGCACAATTTGAATGAGAAGTAGAGAGAGAGCACCGAGACGAAGAATACAGAGTAAACGGACAGCACAAGAGTATGAGAGACGTTGATTCTGGGATAGGGAACGGTTCCGACAGGATGCGGGAGGTTATGACAAGAGAATCTACAACCAAGTGATTCCTTTCTTCATCACTAACTTCCCAGAGGATTGGTCGTTCGAGCAGATGTGGCAAGCTTTTAATAGGCTAGGTCTCGGAAGGGCACTGGAGATTGATTGCCCGAAGAAGAAGGACAGACTGGGCAGAAGATTTTCGATTTCTGGATGTGAAGAATGAAGGTGAACTAGAAAGAAGTTTAAATCAAGTGCGGGTTGGGAATTACTTTTTACAAGCAAACAAACCGAGGTTCTCGAAGTGGGATCACCAAGAAAAAATGGATCCTTGCAATATTTCCAAGATTCGAAGCTGGAGTCAATCAGGCATCAACGGTAAAGCTAGAAGGCCAACGTATGCCGAAGTGGTACAAAGACATGGAGCAGTAGAAAGGAATGGAAGCAATGAGTTCTTGTAGACTTTAGGTAAAGATAGGTATTCATTAGAATTTGATGCATTCCCGATTAGGGAATGAGGAAAGCGGCCCTCTGAAAAGTCTGTTGGGTGAGATATAGAAAGTCTGTAGTGCTAAGTTTTGAATATCAAGTTTAAGAAAGGGTAAATTACACTAATAGTCACTCATCTTTATCATAACTTTTAATTTAGTCACTATCCTTCTAAACTTGTAAATTTAGTCATTGACCTTTCTTTTGATATGCTACTGTTCATCACCTTTGTTATCTCTTACAAATTCCGTTAAATGGTAACATAAATGATAGTGTGGCATGTTGGCATGACATTTAATGAAACAAAATTACAGTTTAGCTCAAAAAAATAAAAGTCAATAAGTGACAAGAAAAAAAAAATATTTGTAGCATTAATTCGAATATTTTAATTTTTGAGAATATGATGATCACATTGAGTTAAGAATGAAACTACTTAAAAGATTAGTTATGAAAAGAAAGAGAGTGAAGTGGTCAAAATTAAATATAGAAAACAAATATATAAATAAATTTACTACTAAATTTATATAGTCAAATTGATTCTAATAGTTTTTAATAAGTGGAGGTACCCTCATACCTTCTTAATATATTTTTTTAAAATAATTAAAATAGGCAAAAGGTGTAGATTCCCCCTAAAATTGTTGTGTTAAAGCAAATTGTCATGAAAAAAAATGTTGATGTAATTTACCACATCAAATTTTTATTTTTAAAAAATCAACTTAAATTTAACTATTATTATTAACTTTCTATTAAACTTTAAGAACAATACTTTAACGAAATTTAATGGCAACCATTAAATTTATATTGATTTCTTGAAAATGAAAATTTTAAGTGGCAAAATTATGTTAACATTTTTTTTATGATAATTTACTTCAACACAACAATTTTGATAGGTAATTTACATAATAAACTATTAAAATATATAGAAAATTAAAGAAATATTTTTTAATTGATATGTTACTATTTTGTTACACGACAATTAAAAATTAATTTATTTGTTAATTTTTAAGAATATTAAGATTATATGGTGTTTCTAATTGATATTTTTTTGCCATCAATTGATTTTTTTGGCAAGATTGTAATTTTGTTTCACTTATGATCACATCATCACCCATCTCATCACTTAATAGAATTATTAAGAGATAAAGGAGGGCGATGAATGGGGCAGCATGTTAAAAGAAAGGTTAGTGACTATCTACTCAAATTTAGTAGGACAATGACTAAATTGAAAGTTATGAGAAAGGTAAATAATTATTTGTGTAATTTATATCTACTAAATTATTTTAATTAATGCTACAAATATGTTATTTTTTTCTGGTTACTTGTTGACTTTTATTTTTTTGAGCTAAACTGTAATTTTGTTTCATTAAATGCCATGGCATCGTACCACATTATCATCTATTTTATCATTTAATGGAATTTCTAAGAGATAACAAAGGTGATGAACAGAAGCATATTAAAAGAAAGGTCAATGACTAAATTTACAAGTTTAGAAAGACAATGACTAAATTGAAAGTTATGATAAAGGTGAGTGACTATATATTAGTGTAGTTTACCCAAATAAGAATTGCAAACCTTAAACGGCAGAGAATCTTCAATTTGGGAAACCCTATTGTTTGCGTTGCGTCCCACCTTCTACAATTGTGGCTCTCATAATTAGGGAATTTGCAGTAGGGACTCTAAATCTTTTATATACAAGTTCTGTTAAAAGTTGGAATGAAAAAAAATTCAAGATGCGTATTAAAAGGAAATTCGTCGATATTGGAAAATTCAACCCAAATACAGTAAGTTTTTACAGTTATTTGTCACTAGTTTATTATCTTTTATCTTCATCTTTTATCTATACAATTCATATGATCAATTAGTGGGACTGAATGCTCTTGTTTATGCTTTGGGCTATGCATTTATTTTATGTGTGGGGAGCTTGTATTTAAATTTGCAAAAGCACTTCTGTGGGTCATGAAAGCTTGACGACTATTGCTATATATATTTCAAGATGTTTAAATATTTTATTTTATAATCTAATTCTTTGTCAATATAAATAATTTTGTTTTCTAGTTAGTTGCATATTTTGATATTTTTATCTTGCTTCGTATTACGATGGTTTTTTCTTCACCATATGTTTCACCTTTTTTTCTTTTTATAGGTGAGAACTTTGAATATTTTACAA